AGACGTTCAAGTACTGGATAGATGAGTTTATGATTATGAACTAGTATAATAAAATAATGTAAATCTCGTAAGAGAAGGGTGCAATATTTAAAACCCGGAGTACGTATAGCTATCCTAAATTGATTGTGTAAGTATTTTCTGATATAATAATTTTAAAACGAAAGTGAGTCCAAATTCACCAATTGCAAACACGCATCACCAGAAACACCCGGGATTGTTTTTGACATGTGCAGACTGTGCTTACTTACCCCGCTCCTATTCAGATTTACATTCTCAGGATAAAGAACCTAGAAACAAGTAGGGGTCTTCAGTTGATTGACCGGTTCGTTGGTGTGATAGGTTGCGAGCGTAGAACTGGCCTACTACAAGATCAAGATTCTGGACCCCAGCTCCTTGACTGCACTGAATACCTCAGGTGGTAATGAACACCCTCAAAGTTCCGTGTCTTTAGTCAATCGGGTCTTGCGGTGTGCATCTTGCATGTTCTGAGCCATATTTGAGATGAGGCCAGTTCCACGGAAATCGGTAAACCCGACGTCGACGCGGGGAATGAGAGTACTCTTTATCAATTCCACTCATGGCCATGGTGGTTAGGAAGGAGTAGCAAGCGTGGGCTCAGTGCCACAACTGTGGTACGCATGCAATACCATGCTCTACGTACATGTATGCACGCACGGCTACCACGCGAGGGTGCTCTAGCGGAACATAATGAGTAATTTTAAAGTAGGATTATACACGTACATTTGATCACTATTCGCTCGGGCCAGCAGGAACCGAAACAGTGAAACCTGGTACTCGCTTACAGCCCAAAGTTCTGTATGTCTGGATCATCCATAGCCAAGGAATACAAGTACCTCTAGCTCTACTATAGATTTAATTTGAAATTGGTATGTACATGGATATTTGTGTATTGTTGGCGACCAAACAAACATACAATGAATACGGCATTACTACTGTATTCTTTTTTACAATTCCGGTTTAATTCCGTAGTCCTACAGTACTGATTTCACCTCGTTTTTTTCGTACTGTACATATGTATATGGGTGTGCTCAGTTGAACACAATTACTGTTCATTCTCTCCCTGTCTCTAGTGGAACAGTTGGAGCTTTCTAGCGTGTGAGAAGAAACTCGAGGACAGAATAAACAGGAACTACGTTTATCAGAGCATAGCTACCATATTTACTTTGGTCACGATTTCGATTTGGACTGACCGCCTAAGGGATACCACTCTAAATACCATAGTCAGTACCTTCTTAAATCGAACCTATGATTGGATCCCATACCTACATCCCCAAATGGCAGAAATGAGAGGCCAGTAGTACCTGCATCTAGGTTGGTCTTAGTATATGATGTAGTATGGTATATATGCTAGACCCTCTTGATATCCAGCTGATCAATGCCACTAGCACAATGCTATTAGTGCACTTACAGCTTTCAAATTGAACTTTTTTACACCACTTAATACGCATGTACGTAAGTATATACATGAATTTGTGTGTCCGTGAGCGCCATCATGGTCAGTAGTGCTACTTTTGGGTGTAATTCTAAAATGTTTGCACATCATATCGGTATCGTGGCTCGGGGATATTGTGGTTCTTACTATTAATATATATATGTTTATTTTTACAGAGATCATCCCGAATCAATCAATCAACCGCAGAAATGGCGAGTTTAAACAAGCAGTAATAATGGATTCACAGGTTATCACTCGGTATATTTCTGCACAAGTGACTTTCTAATAGGTAGGCCTTCTTTATCCGCAGGCCTTTTGCCGCGTTATCCCATAACCCGTACGTGTCGAGACAATGCTGGCACCTCTTTTATAAGGGCAAGACATGGCTGGAGCCAATGACTTGTAATAATTTTGTTGATCTCTTACTCGATCTTGCTGTAGCTTTGTCTCACAAGAGGGGTGTCAGCATCGACGGTTTATTGGATATATCAGATATATAATATGATGTAGGTACCTATGGTAACTCTAGTAGGCAAAAACTTGCGAGATACACACTATTTGATGCAATAACCGCATTACTTTGTGTTAAAGGCATTCCTGTCCCATTACCGACACTTTACCGACACCTTTACTGATGTATTTACCTGTTAAAGGCAATAAGATACAACTTTACTGACGACATTCCCCGTTAAAGGCATGTTAAAGGCATGTTAAAAGCAATAAAATGACTGTTTCCGGGGTTTCCTGTTTTCCGCCGGGAAATCAATGTTTTCTAATGAAGCCTCTCATCTAGATCTCGAGATAGTTGAGTCCCCAAATGGAATATTTCGATGGGGTCATCAAATGGTATCTGGCATCAATGGGCTTGTAACAGTTGGGAAATACAATTTCATTTTGGTGGATCTATTGTTTGGCATATACATACAGGCAATCCTGGCTTGATGCTCCTGGTATAATAGTAGGATGCTCTGTGATGATTCGTCTCATTGGTGGTTGCCTTTGTCAATCATGTGAAGCATCACCGATGGCCAAAACTTATCCCCGCCTGTGTATACGCCCAAAATGAGTGACAGAAGCGTGACAGGTAAAGGCATCAGTAAAGTCGTCGGTAAAGTCATTTTAAATCATTAAAAAATCGTCTGTAAAGTCGTCCGATTTCCCTTAAAACGACTTTCCCTCCACCAAAATATTGACATTTCCCAGCGAACATTGGGACCCCAGAAACGACTTTCCCGACGACTTTACTTAATATTCGAGGTACACATTTCCACTCCCCCTAGAGTAATGACTAGGATAGCATAATTTGCTATTAGTGAGCGATTTTACCGAGTTGGGATTATACATATGCAACTAGCTAATCAATTAATGGCGATAGCTGCTATTATTTGTTGCAGGCTAAATGAATCTATTGATTCGAGATCATCTAGCCTAGTAAATTAAAAGTAGTCTCTTTATCCTACAGTCTGTTATATTAGTGCTAACATTTGCTCGTAGGGGCTAGAGCCCATGAAATTCGGCGAGTGATTGATCAGCCGCAGAGGCTACATGTACAGGCCGTTCAGATTGAATCAGCGATTGACAAAATGTGTTAGCACCAGGCGTCCTTTTGGCCAGCCCACGAAAGAAAAAGAAAAGGCCAACAAACATGGAAAAAATATAGAATAAAATAACGTTCTGCTCTTGCGAATGGTTGAAGTGCTAGTGCACTTGTACAATTGTACTTAGTGTGCGTGCTGAGTTCGACGCAAATATGAGCTGTGAGTCGTGCATAATCACTCGGAGCCGTTGTTACCAACAGTACATGTATCAACCAGCTTTGATTGATTGATTGATTACTTCATTAATTGTATAGCTTATCAACCAGCTATCTAGTAAGCGAACTGGTATAAATATAGGTTTCCGCTAAACTTGTGCGAGAAAACGCGGCTTCAATACAAAAGTGACGGTAGCGGAAACTTACATGTACTATGTATTCTCTCGAAAAATATATACTATTCTGTTCTAGCTGATGCCATCAACGAGTCAAATTACTAGTTAAGTTTTAATTATATATATACGCCTATATATACGCCTATGGACCGAATTTTTATATTGATAGACGGTTGGGTTAGGTGCGGAAAAGTTACAAAATTTAAAAAAAAAAAATTAAATGCAGTCGTTCGCCGTGGGTGTCAGTTGATAATTAAACATGGGTTACAGTCATGGAAAGAAAATCCTAAGCTGTAAGCGCGATCTCGAATGGATCGTAAGTCTTTGTTCCGGAGAATGGCTGCTACTTGTTGGTTTAAACTTTTCAACAAAAGTATTCCTAATGGTTTAGACCACTCTTATCTATTGGGGGAGGATTAGGCTACTGCCATATCAAATATTTAACGAGTGACTATAGTACTATATGTATCTTCCGGGGACCACTGGTACCGGAGAACTGCTTAGCTAGTATAGAGCTACATATGGCCGGTCCATTTACAAGCGACATCAAGGGCAGCTAGAAGACCAACCCAAACATCCCGTCCCTCGCCCACTCTCTTCTTAAAACTTTTTATCTTGCCCAGTCAGCAGCGTCTTGTCAGACTTGATCAAATATCAATGTCTTTATAATTTACAGAGATCCCATAATAAGAAACCTGTCAGTGTCGTTGTGTCCATTTTTGTACTAGGGCTACATAAAGCCAATTTTTTCCAGCTTGTCTAGAATCATATTATTAGTGATCATGGGGTTGTGAATAAGCCCGGTCTTACTTCACGTGCTGCATAAACTCAGGTGCGCGGCATGTCCAAAATGCAATGCACGTGACGTTTACTTTGTGTGCGATTTTGCGAGTTGAACAGAAAGTCGAGCAGGTTGGACAGAAAGTCTAGCTGTTCCCGGAAGAGACTTGCAGTCGTTCAACCAACAAGATGTGCAGGACTTTTTGTCGAAGTGCTCGACTTTCTGTCCAACTATTGCAGCTAAAAGCCTCTAATGCATGCACCAAAGGCTTGGGTATTTCAATTTAGTGTTAACGACTCTTATGGTCGTTGGCTAAAAGACTAATTCATTTGGTTGTGGTGTCAAGTCAATCCCTAGACACGCGTGACACTGCATGCTGCACATGTGATAAGCAAGTACAATACTCCACACGTATCAAAGTTTAATGATAGTATTTAGTAACTATAGATACATGTACATACCTACATGTGCACTTGACGTGCCACTGCTAGGGAGGGACCTCTAAAACCAAGGAGGACATCAAATTCTTGATATCTCAAAAACCCTTAATCATTTCTCATCTCATCTCAAAACGATCGAATACGAAAAAAAAAAAAAACTAAATAAAACGCCATTGACCTGTATCGCATAGAACATGCCACATTGCGTCCCTTCCATCTACTCATTCGAGTTGATGTGTTGGTATTTGCATGAATGGCACGCAACAACCCTTCCTATCCAACTTCAAATATAAACGGTCCAAATGAAGAAGAAAAAAAAATTATTATAAACCCGCTAACCCATAAACCTATAAATACCTCAAAACAATAACCGGCAACACCTTCAAACCAAAAACGATCAATGTGATGTCGTCTGAGTTGTAACGCTAGTAGTGACGTTTCTCTCTCTGACTTCGCTACCTTGTTTTGTCTCTTCCTTAGAAGAAGCTGTAGTTGTTGTCTTCATGTTCAACGGCTCAATATTTTCGAGGTTGTCAGTTTTATGGCCATCTCCGGCATCTTTTTGAGTATTCTCATCACTCGGGGTGGCTTGAGGACTTGGGGGTGCCTCCTTCCACCTTGCGACATCTTTTTTCAACTGCTCCAGCTCTTTTTGGAAGCGTGTACCAAACACATCGACTATATGGATAATTAGCAAAAACTAGAGCAAACAATAGAGGTAAAGGGGTACTACTGTAGTATATAGCTCCATTGTAAACACTCCAAAGCCCAACAGCGGAAATGAACAAAGCAGAGAAGCTGCGATGATAAAACCAAAATGGGCACGGAAGCATGGTTATAACTGCATATGAATATTGAATGAACATGAATGCAGACTCTTGAAGATTTGTTGGGAGCCGCAGGACCAGTTTTCCGATCCAAGTCTTGGAGTAACTTTTTCGGAGCCAAGTAAACGATGTTGGACGACCAGCGGCAATTTTATCGCGCCTTCGAACCTTTGAAATATGTCAATTGATGTATTTATGGGGGTCGGTATGGGGACTAACAGTAATCAAAAGGTGGTAGGAAATTTGCCAAATTCCATACGGGATGGTTGCCCAGATGATCATCTCTCTAAGGCCGTAGTGTTCTATGTTCTTGACTCTACTAATAGCTGGGAATTTCGCTTCGATAATAACTGGATCCACGCAATGTACCAAACAATGCAACACGACAGGAGGCATGATATGTATGAATAATGAAGTGACTTTATCCAATGAGTGGAAAACCAGAGAGTTTCTCCACATAGCTATCGCCCAAGCATTGTTTCCGTAGGCCAAGCAGTAGGTTGCGATCATGAGACGTCGAGAATTAGGAAAAACCCAGATAGAGAGCAGAAGAAGGACATTGACAAAGTAGCAAAGATCGGCTAAGAAGTAATGGTAGCCACGTTTATGATAAGTGTAATAGCGGACGGGCATGAAATAAAGAAGTTGTAGCGAATACCAGATGTGGACCCATTCCCTGAGACAAGATTTAGCCTCTGCACTTCCAATCATAGAGGGAATAGGGACTTACGGATGCCCGCCAATTAAAAGACCTGTGATGAAGATGTTGCAGACACCAACCACGAACGCGATCTTCTCTCTTGAAGAAATAACTTTGGTATCCCCCCATTTATCGACAAGCTTATCAAGACCCTGACTAAACTTATCTTTGTATTTCTCTAGTTCCACATCTGTTTTTTTGAGGACAGTTTCCTTATGCTTGACATATTGAAGCTTTACTTTGTCCCTGTGTTTTTTGAGAGTCTCGCTCTGGAGCTGTATGCGCTTATTTATTTTCTCCAGCTGTTGTGGGAGTGTAAATTGGTCGAGAAAGTCAAATACAGTGAGTTTGTCCATCGGAGGAAAATCCCAGTCATCGCTATTGGTCACAGAACCAGCGTATGAAGGAGAGCGAGAGAGGCTCGGAGATGGAGGCGGAGAGTCGATCGACTCTGCGCCAGAGAGAGCTTCATCCATATCTTCGTGAGGATTTGATGGAAGAGTATGGGAGGGGGGACGGGAGAGTAGTAGTTTGCCCACGTAGATGGTTGTCTAGTATCTAAGAGCTAGCTTGCTTTGCGGGATGGAAAGTAGTCGAGAAAGCCCTAAGAAGGAAGGGGGAGAAGTTTCACAAAAATGTTAGATGAGTAAAGAAGCGAGGGTAAAATATGCTTATTCTAAAGAAGGGCTATAGAAGAAGGTGAATCCTCTCATTTCTACAGCACACGTGAAACTTTGTCCATCACTGGGGCTGAATGAAACCTTGGAATTTGAAACGTGGCTCATTCCGCAGGAGTAATGTGGCGCATAAATACCAAGATGAGGCTCATGGAGGTGGCGGGGCTTTTTGGTTTATCTTTGGGTGCCTTAGTCATTCAGCAGATTCACCCACCAACCGCAAAAGATTTTTTCCTTCAAACGTTGCGCCTAAACCAACCTCCTGGTTCAGCAAAGTAGCAACGACACCACTATTCGCAATGGAGCTCGTCAAAAAGCAGGAGACCGAGGAGTACTCAATAAAGCCAGAGGCTACCACAGCGCCTGTTGATACCTCAACATGGCCGTGAGTTATTCCATTATGCCTTTGCGGGTATGTCTTATGTACTGACATTTTTTTTGGGTTTAAAGTCTGCTGCTTAAAAATTACAATAACCTTCTTGTTCGGACTGGTCACTTTACCCCAATTCCCAATGGCTGCGCTCCATTGAAGCGGGATCTCAAGAGTTACATCAGCAGCGGCGTAATTAATCTCGACAAACCGAGTAACCCTAGCTCCCACGAAGTTGTTGCGTGGGTCAAGAGGATTTTAAGATGCGAGAAGACCGGTCACAGTGGTACTTTGGATCCCAAGGTTACTGGTTGCCTTATTGTCTGCATTGACCGTGCAACTCGCTTGGTTAAGTCCCAGCAGGGAGCCGGTATATATATTCCTTTTCCGAAAAAAATTATATGTTCTAAATTTCGTTTAGGAAAGGAGTATGTTTGCGTCCTTCGTCTTCACGACAAAATTCAGTCAAAAGAGCAATTGGCCCGTGCACTTGAGACTTTGACCGGTGCCCTATTCCAACGTCCGCCATTGATTTCTGCGGTCAAGCGTCAATTACGTATTAGGACGATCCATGAGTCGAAACTTCTCGAGTTCGATAACGATAGGCATCTTGCTGTGTTCTGGGTTAGCTGTGAGGCTGGTACCTATATCAGAACCTTGTGTGTTCATTTGGGACTGTTGCTAGGAGTTGGTGCACACATGCAGGAGTTGAGGCGTGTTCGATCTGGGGCTTTGAGTGAAAACGACAGCATTGTTACTCTACATGATATTTTGGATGGTATGCCCTACTCCGGGATTTCCTAGAAAAATTCTTCCAAATATTTTTTGACTGACACTCTTACAGCTCAATGGCTTGCCGATAACACACGCGATGAATCCTACCTTCGCCGTGTTATTCGCCCCTTGGAATCCCTTCTCACCACATATAAACGTATCGTTGTCAAGGACAGTGCGGTCAACGCTGTGTGTTATGGTGCCAAGCTCATGATCCCCGGTCTTCTCCGTTACGAGGCTGGAATTGAGGTTGGCGAAGAGGTTGTGTTAATGACCACTAAGGGCGAGGCCATTGCTTTGGGGATTGCTCAAATGTCCACCGTTGAACTCTCAACCTGCGATCACGGTGTTGTCGCAAAAGTTAAGAGATGTATCATGGAGCGGGATCTTTACCCCCGCCGCTGGGGTTTGGGGCCTGTGGCTCTTGAGAAGAAGAAGATGAAGGTTGACGGAAAGCTTGACGTCGGTGACCCCAGTCTTTGAAGTTGAAGTTTCATTTGAACTAATTAGAAATACAGAAATATGGCCGTCCTAACGAGTCTACCCCCCAGACTTGGAAGAAGGCATACACTGACTTCAATGCGCCTGCTGAATCTGACCTTAGGGTTATTGAAGCTGATGATGATGTTGAGAAGCCCATCACTTCTGATGTTGGTAGGATTGATGTGGAAATGACCACTCCAGGAGACGAGGGTTCCGATGATGAAAAGGAAGATGCTGGTGATAAAAAGAAGAAGAGAAAAACCGGAGAGACGGAAGAGGAGAGAGCTGAACGCAAGAAGAAGAAGAAGGAAAAGAAGGAGAAAAAGGAGAAAAAGGATAAAAGGGACGAGTAGGAGAAGAAGACGAGCAGGAGCATCAATCAACCCAAAATTCCCTCTACCCTAGGAGGTTTATGTAAATTAACCGTGTTATTTTTTTCTTTCTCTTTTTCATTACTTAAGTTTTTCCTTCCAATCTTTTGGTTGTCTCGGTGAATAGTATCTCCAGTGCACTATCCTAAGCTAGTAGTAGCTAGTAGCGGAGGTTGCATTTTCATATTAAAAGTAGGATTGTTGAGATAAATATCTGTCCATGTATGCATATAAATGCTTTATCTGCACTTAAATACAATCACTAAATGTAGCACGGCACTTACATGTATTTCTGAGTTTAGAGACCCAAATGATTACGTACATAATGTGTTTGCCAAGACATGTAGGCAGCTGCAGGTGAAGTCTCTCGGGTACGCAACCACCACTCCCGTATACCACCAATCCATTATTCTACTCAACCAAAGCCAGACTCGGGCATCACCATTACCGTATCATCATCACCCTATCTACGGGCCCTTTGGCATCATAAGAAGTTCGATCACTTTTTTATAATACTTCAACAAATTCTCTGGTATTTCCATAGAATAATTCACCATGAGCTCTGGCACATCCCCGCAACTGGGGAATCTTGACCTTGAGACCGATGGAGCTTCCCCGTGGGGCGATGAGAGATCTGTAAATACCCAACCCCCTCGTGTGTATAAAGCTTCCTGATGCTGCTGCTAACATATCCAAGGAGGATGTTGCCCAAGGTTGGTATAAATAATTACTCCACCCTTCCAATTGATACACGTGAGCAGGATTTAACAACTCGTCGTGAATAAAGCACCCGAATCACCAACCGCCGCCACCGTCAGTCAGGATACTAAAGATGCGGAAACAGAACAGCCCCAAACCCCTACTGTAAAAACTTCTACTACTCGCCGCAATCCTCGTCGTCCAGGCCGCCATGTGGCCCGTGTGGAGGCCATCGACGACGACCTTGGTCCACTCGGCCCATTAGGTGATAATTTTGCTGTTACCGACACCCCAGAGGCATCTTCTGGTCCATCAAAACACCTTCACGAGACACCCCCCGAACCGCCACAGAAGGAGGATTCGCCGAGGGGTTCCAGAGTTATCTCCGGCGGTACAGCTTCGCGGACAATGCCGAGAGGGGAAACTATGGAGAGTGTTTCTTTGGAAGATGATGAAACAGAGGCCTATACTGGCCCCCCAACAACCTTTGATGCGATGGAAAGTCCGGAACGGCGTAGAATGATCGGTGGGCCGGATAGGGCACCGGAACAGCCTCAAGTGGCAGGCCCGGTCTTCGATATTAGTGTTGGAGACCCGCACAAAGTTGGAGATTTGACCAGCGCGCATACAGTTTATCAAGTTAGGACTAAGGTTTGTTGATCTTCCTATCTCCAAACTTTATCTTGGGGTTGGTTTGATTGGATGAGAATATTAGACTACGTCGAAAGCCTATAGAAACAGCGAGTTTACAGTTTCTCGTAGATACCGAGATTTCTTGTGGCTTTACAGCGCACTAAATAATAACAATCCAGGTGTCGTGGTTCCACCGCCACCAGAGAAACAGGCTGTAGGGAGATTTGATGATAATTTTGTCGAATCTCGAAGGTCAGCTCTGGAGCGCATGCTAAACAAAACTGCAGTTCATCCGATTTTACAGAATGATCCAGACTTGAAATTATTCTTGGAGTCCGAAGCACTGAATGGAGATATCAAGCATAAAGAGAAACAAGCACCACCGATTGGAGAAAGCAAGGGTATGTTTAGCTCTCTAGGCTTTACTGTGGCTGGAAAATTTGTGGAAACCGATGAAGTGAGTATCATTGCTATCAGTTAGTCAAAATACACATTCATACAACAAATAAGGGAGAGTAAGGTGAAAGAGCCAACATACTAGCGGAACGGTTATACTTTGACCAAGCCTCCTTAATTCCTTTTGGCCTCTCACCGATAAGCTCAGATGAGAAAAGGGTGCTGACTTTGGATACTTAGTGGTTCCATGACCGCAAGAACTATCTCGATGCGTTGGAAATCCAACTCAAGTCTCTTCTCAAAGCTGTTGACACGGTCATCAAACAACGAAAAGATCTCGCAGAAGCCGCCAGTGACTTTTCTTCATCCTTGCACGCCCTATCCACTGTAGAGCTTTCAAAATCCCTCTCCTCTCCTCTCGAAGCCCTCTCAGACCTTCAGATTCGAATCAAAGAACTTCATGAGCGGCAAGCGCAGCAGGATGTTCTCACGTTAGGGATCACAGTTGATGAGTATATCAGGCTCATTGGCTCTATCAAGCTCGCATTCCAACAGCGACAAAAGGCTTACCATTCTTATCACGCAGCAGATAGCGAGCTGAACAAGAGGAAGAGTACTTTTGAAAAGTTGCAGAGACAGGGGAAAACGCAGCAGGATAGACTCAATCAGATGTCCGCGGAGGTAGTGGATAGCGAGAGGAAGGTGCATCAAGCCAAGTTGTTGTTTGACGATATGGGGCGGTTGATGAGAACAGAGTTGGATAGATTTGAGAGGGAGAAGGTTGAAGATTTCAAAAGTGCTGTTGAGACATTTCTGGAAAGTGCCGTTGAAGCACAAAAGGAGGTAAGTTCTTCGCATATAATTCCTATGATGCATGATATATGGAGCTAACGCAAGTTCGAAACAGCTTATTGAGTTGTGGGAGACCTATTTGTTACAGCTGGACCGGGAAGAGGAAGAGGAAACAGGATTCAGGTCTATTAATGAGCCCACTTCGGCTTAGGCTAATGAAATACGCGTTTTGGGATGAGGAACGGAGATTAAAGGTCGAAAGAGAATGGAAGGAGTGATCAACAAAATCAGATAAACCCATCATCGCCATTATCATGATTTTACGTATTACTTTTCAAGTGATTTTAATTTACCCTTTCTGGCTTGTTTTTTTTTATTGCTGAAACTGTGTATTGGTTATCCGGCTGGGTTGCTGATATCAGTGTATTTTAGTGGACCATTGAACCACTAGCTCGTTAGAGTTTAATTGTTTAGATTCAATTGTCGACCAAAAATAATTCTGTGAGAGATTGGTGAGATGCGGCCAATATGTTTATAACTTCATTCTACTGAGACGAAATTCGATTGAAATAAGCTTCCAGGTAAGTAAAAACGTAATGAAAAGCAGTAATTCAGTACGTAACAGATAATATGTCCTTCATCTGTATTTTATGAGTATATGGTTGGGGTTGGAGACTCCTAGATCCGGAGTATTGCGACATTTATTCTAGAAATTAACTACGAGTAACTGCGGAAAATCACAACCTCTTGTATCAACACAGCTTGACATGGTCCAACATTCATCTCCAAACCCCCACCCTAATAACTCCACCCTCAGACCAGCTAAACTAATTTAGGCTCTGTAGAGTGATAGATCAGGCGAAAAATAGTCGAATAACAAAGGGATAATTAAAATAAGCCGTGGTTGTGGAAAGTTATTACCTTTGGAAATCTTGACGTCGGAAGTGTTCCGGTTTAAGGTGTCCTCATATCATGTTCAATATGGCGCAAGAAGACACAATCAGGGTGGTCGGCAGCTTTCCACACACATACTCTACATCCATACGTGAGTTACATTATTGAGTACTGACGGACCAAGGTGCCAAAAACAAGAAGTGTGCATGAGGTTTGACAACAATTCTGCTCATGAAAAAAATAAACCTCAGCATTCATTTATGAATTGTAACCTTCCTAGATCTTATAGTATACCAATCCATTGAGGATGAAAAGGGAGCTATAAAAATATTTCATACCACAAGGGAAGAAAATATAGATGCAGAAGACGATACTATTTAGGTATAGAAAGGGATAGAGTACTTAGTATATTGCGAGTTGGCGTGATCACCATATAATGACAACATAAGAGGATGCCCTCTACGGCCACACAACGTACATGTACATAGTCATTTGAAGCAATCATTGTGAATATATAGGAGTTCCGCGCGGGTGAGGGCTAAGCGCCATATCCTATGTATATACTCGCCCCAGTCATACTAGATACTAGAGGTTCTAGGACGAATCTATACATGGATTAGAGATGTACCAATATTGTCATCCTAACTAGTCTGAAAGTTAAAATTTAATAACGATCGCAAGATCGATAGTACTAAATTATCGAGTGATATTATATGATTCAAGATCGTTGATAATTCATTCATGTATGCAGCCCGTAAGCTATGACATGATTCAAGATCTGCGTCTTAAGTAATCGTATGTACATAACTACATGTATTTGGAGGCGTATTAAAATTTCAGAAAATATGGATATGTGATCTCAGATCTCTCAGTCCAAATATGACAGAAAAATCCCACCCCATAATATAGTTAACGCTACATCTTATACCTAAACACCAAACAAACCCGCATTTTTCCTTCAGATATGATCCAGCATAGCATAAACCCATAGCAAAGCTATAAACGCAAAAAGCCTCTCCATCCAATACCAAAAACAAACAAGAGATACGTCCACGTTACTATACATTATACACTTAGAGGTCATCGCACTAAAAATAGGTGCTACCCACCAAATTTTCGGGGAAGCTTTTGGTCTCCTTGACTAATATACAGACAATAAATAATAATAAATGAACAGCCGGATCAACTAACGGGGCTTTCCGGAGGGGAAGGGAGTCAAAAGAGCCAGTCTGTCTCTTCGGTGCCCATGGGCGCAAACCCAGGTAGCATACTCTGCTGCTGTCCATTGGCATCCAGAACTGGAGTTCCTGAAGGGTGCGTCCCAGGAGCCACCCGCGGGAAATTGAACCAGTTGAAGACATCCAAATAATCCAACGCTGCGCTACCATTGTTTCCAGAAGACTCACCATTGCTCGTTGGGATACCCAAGTGTGCTGTTGATCTCCGAGAATCTGGCTGGCGCGAGATCATAACGTCCACCGCATATGCTGTCATTCTCATGTCCGAAAGTATCGCTACACAGTTCCTGGTGCTACTGCCAGTTGAATCGGTATCCTGGTCCGATACCGATCCGTTGGCAGTTTGCATTTGTGTTTGCGACAACTCCTCAACTACACGCTGAATTATGGTTGCATAGCGTTCGGCAGTTTGGTAACATTTACCCATTTCGCGAAGTGCGTCCAAGAAAAGTCGGACGTCGGGAATAGTTGAATACTCTGTTGTCGAAGCATGTACGAGGAGAAGACGAGCAGCAACCCAAACTGTGAAAGCAAATGTTGATCCCAACAAATGCAGCATGTTATTGGAAATCACAAGGCGAGTTAACGCAGCAATATTTTCTACGGCCGACAGACATCTTTGACCAGCAGAATACGAAGGGCCAAATATGCTAGAGCGTGTAGTTGGATATGCAGCAGAGGAGTGAAGTCGGATCACCGAACTAAAGGCTGTCAGCAAATAACCTGAACCTGAACCTTAGCTCTAGGATCAACTACATACGTGTTATATGCGGCATGAAGCATTATCCATGAAGGGTCCACAACCGTACCACCGAGATTAAGCGCACGCGTCAGGTTTCCGTACGACATTGGAAGGGAGAACTTCCAGGAGGTGAGAGCTTTGTCGAGAGTTCTATACTTTAGTTGCCATGCCTCCACATCAGAGAGCACATTAATGTCGACAGTTTCACGGAGAAATCGGTGAATTCTTCCTAGGATTCCAAGAACCTCGATCAGGTAAGAAAATGCTGATAGAGACTCCACATTGTTGACTGTTTGATCCGACCTCCTGGGCGTTCGAAACCATCGAGTAGTGACATGCTGATTCCTATCCCACAGGTGATCTCGACACGGTAGTAACCTATCAATCTCCGATTCATCTAACGTCAAATCCAACGAGGTCCCAAGAGTTGTATAAATATCCAACAAATAAACCATCCAAAATAGTCGTCTACGTCCTTCCTCCTCGACCCAGTCTTTTGATTCAGGTAATATCCCTGCCCCCATGGTCGATATCTGTGGTAGAACCTCTCTGGAAGGTTCAACCGCCAAGCCTAAGTGCAATGCCATGCGGGTTGTCAATGCCAAAAGTCCCCAACCCGAAGGGCCATTTGTTGACCCAGTAACATCGAGAACCAATATAACAAGGGCCTTCAAAGATTGAACAGAGGGATTTTCCAGGGCATAAAATACAATTTTGCGTTTCGCTACCGACCGAAAATGCGCTTTCCAATTTTCGTCAAGTCGTCTATCATTACAGAACCTTAAGGTCGCCGAGACTATGGAATGCATCAAAATGACATCGGGTTCTTCAACTTGGGACAGATGGCGCCCAAAGAAAGAATCCACAATTGTTTGCCTGTGAAGAATAGGACACGTTGGATATATGTTTTGGAAGAATAAATCGACCATGGTGCATAGGAGATCATCGGTTGGGAGGTCATTATCAAAAGATTTCGTATTTGAAAGATCTCCAATTTGGTTCTGTTCCCGGAAGGCAACATCTGCGGGCATTATTCCCGCAGTACTAACAAATGTGCCTGGTGGCTGTGAAACAGCAGTGAACTGGGCTGAGGGGGGAGGATGGCTGACTGCCATCATCGGTTCAGTTGTGCCAGGGTGGGATATTGAGGGAGAAAGGTGATCATGCGAAGCGGTGGATGGTGATGGGAACTGGGGATGGTTGTTGAGATTTTGAAGATGATTTTCGATTATTTGGGAGTGGTTAGCAAGAACTGCTTCTACACGGTCTGAAATGATAGAGAATTCAATCAGCACCTATCTTTCGAAATATCCAAATAAATAAAAACTCACCAAGTCGTTCCTCTAATTCTCGCCCAATTCCAGCCCGAAGGCCTGGCTTTTTCTTTTGTCTGTAGATACATTCCTGCCCTTTTTTTTTTTTTACTAAGTATCAGACCAGTCTTGTAGTTGTGATTGAATGGTGGAGGGGGCTGACCATTGCGACTACACCATCCACAACTTGGTTGTGCGCGGTCGCACTTTACCTTCCGTTGTTTGCAAGTCTCACACCTTCAATCGTAAGTGGATGAAAAATAAAAGCGGTTGGAAATGCTCACGATGAAATTCCGTCGATGCGTCTTCGTTTCCTAGCACCCTCACTTCCAGCATCACCTCTATCCTGTCTTCCTTCGTCTTCAGAGGAATTATCATGATCGCTGCTTCCCCTCCCGTTCGTCGTAGAGCCCTTTCCGTTAATGAGGCTGTTGACAGCCGAAGGTCTACGGAGGGCTGCAGTAGCAGGTGGAGGAGGAACAGCCGCAGCGGGCGTGGGTTGTGAGTCTGGCGAACCCATATTTGCAAATCCTTTATACAATGCAATGAGTTTAGGATACGGTACTGTATTGTTGATTTCTGGTTCGTTGGCTTGTTGAACTGGTTGATTATCGACTAAGTAACTTCACTCACACACTTGAGTATATCGCCAGACTGGCGACAAAAATGGTGCTAATGGGGATGATAATGATGATAGAAAAGAAGAAGGGCAGGGCAGCATCGGAGCTTACAGGTTAGGCTGGTTGTACCTAAGTAGGGGTCTCGATCCAACCAATCCCCGGATATTGGCGCAGGCCAGGCATAATTTTTTTGTCACTCCTGGGATTGTTAGGATTATCAAGAGGTTTGCGGCTTCCCCGCCTTCTAAGGGTCTCAGGCTTCCTTTTCTCACTGTCTCCACACGGCAGCCGCCCCCTAAGATGTTACCCCAAACTGCGCCCAAGCTGCGAAGTTGAGTGTCATTGCCCAATCGGGTCCAGCAAACTGGCTGGGGAATCCCCGCCCATCGTAACGAGGCAACATGGCGGGGATTTTAGCCAAAAGTCAGGGCACTGGTAACTGGCCAACTGACACTATCACAAACAGTAGTACATATCATACGTACATATGTACGGAATCAGTACCTCTCCCCCCATGCTATGTCGCCCCCCAAAATCAATCTTTACCGTCCTTTCCCCCACAGTCCAGGAACGAACAGCTCGATGAGATTGTTAACTGGCCTGGTTCCTGAGAATAACCGCCCGACACAGTGCAGCGGGCTGTCAGGGTCGTCGGGGTCGTCGGGGTCGTCGGCAGACGATAGTGGTCAGAAAAGTTTGCAGAAAATATCAAGGCAAAGATAAACCGCGCAAAGAGCCTCTTTTTCCTATTCCAGGGTCCACATTTCCACAGGGGGAAGTTTTCAGATCGATCTACGGTGTAACATTGTCAACGGTTGTGGAAAAAACATCTTCGCCGAGCCCACGACAACTTTGATATTCCTCACACTCGGTTGTCAGCAACCCAACGTGGCCAAAAAAAAAAAAAGAAAGAAAGAAAAAATGCATCCTAATATATGTTCTATTTATTAACTGTGTCCTGGCTATAGTGTAAATGTCCGACGACTCGTTCGCTGGGTTCATCCCACATGTTCCTCCGCAATTCGACGCCATGGTTTTGAGCGCTTTCTTGTCGTCCAAGCTCGTTGTCTCTGACGGACAACGTGCCACAGAGGATCCGTGGGGTAGTTAGAGCGCTGCTGTCCAGAATGGTTCTCGGGTGTTTTAATTTATAATCCTCAAGCTAAGATGCTCTCCAGCCTGACGCTTGCATCTCCGGGACCAGCCTCATAGCATATCACTCGACCATGTGCTGTAACAGTTGCACCACTGTGCACCGCAACTGAGAAACGAAAACCTGAACTTGACTTCCGACGTTATGTTCATCCCTTGTACCTTGGAAACGCGATGTCACCCCTTCCATTGTAATTATTTCGCTTATATTAGCACCCCCGGAAATTGATGAGTTCTTCACAGGTAGTTGGGTTATAGGGTTGTTCTTTCTGACATGTAGAACGTTGAGTACCAAATTTCTGCTTAAGTTCTAGGTATGTACATGATATAGCCATCCGTACTTATAGGTTTCTATGACTTGGACATATGTATATTTTGATTTTTTTTTTCTCGCACTGACAATTATGCTCTATTCGACCGTCAAATATTTCCCTCCGCCCGGAGAAATCGTCATCGGTACCGACGGGATCAAGAATACCTGGCCATTTGTGCACATAACTCCGGTGGACCGTAGTTGTTCGACTTTCTGCGATTCCCGGCTAAAACGAGACCCCCAATAACTTCTCCGCAATCGTATGGTATTACGGTGTGCACGAATGACACCCTCCCAGATGTGATTAGGAACTAAATTATCGGAGAGAATTGACAGCTGTAACTTTCCCATCATATATGTTTAAGCCACTCCGATAGGCTTGGCGTTGCAGAAAGGAATTGAAAAGGCCCTTAATACTACAATATCGACAGGATCATAACCTTCTGGTCTCAGTCGCATCACGATGTTTGGTTAAAGTGAAACGGACTGATAGAATGATGCTCGTATTTCCTAAATAGCCCGAGCCCGCACTGATAACTATCGAAAAAGGTTAACTGCAAGGGGCCTTTCTGTAATTGGCCACATGTATCTACCTAATTCTCGGGTCTAATTGAAATACTGACCCTACTTGCAGTCTAGTCAGAAATACAGTATGCAACATACATGTATCGCGATGATATCTATCAAACTGCAGAATACTCTACACCATGTATATATATACCATGCAGACCCTACATAACGAAAATTATCACCATAACTGTCAGGTGGCTCGAAGCCACTTTGGTCATCCTTCTATTACTCTTATCCGCGCCTCATGCCGTTCTAGGGCCCTCATCCGGGGCACTCGTGGCCACTCCAAAAGTGCACGGTTACTTCCGCGTGGTCGTTTGGAAACTGAAGCCACTTACCCAAAGGGCCTATCCCTGTATGTACAGCATTTTCAGTTTTTCTACGCATGCAGGAGATCATATTTCCTTGTTTTAATTTCAGTTTGCGGTACCTACGTTCAACTCGGCAGTGCTAAGCATTTTGGAATGAAAGTGGGTGTAGCTGAAATTCTGTTCCTGTCCTGCCGTTGCAGCCGTTTGGTTTTCGTCTACCTTTTCAAAACTCGCCTATTATATATATATTGCAAAGGAAGTCTTTCTGCAGCCTCCCCTACAGAATCAAGATCAATTACTTTCCCCTCTGGTTTCCCCGTTTACCGAAATTTACAAGGAAATATAACTTCGCACTCACTTCACAAGAAATGTTTCACACGTGATGATGAGCTTCTTCCAACAACCATAACGCACAGGCAATAGCCTGAACCTGTAAATCACTTACCCCACATCTTTCCCAGAGAATCTATATTGGGATCTGCCTATTTTTCTAGGCAATGATGTGGATTTTATCTTGGCCCCTTTCAAGTATGGAGGTTCCTGAACATCTATTATACGCAATTATAATAGTAGTTCAGCCTAGTATATACGAGTACGATAGTGTCAGACTTGTAAACTGATCATGTCGATTGAAAGAGGAAAAGATGGGTTATAAAGTTCTAGCCTCCATCCTCCGATATTTTGCTTTCGATTTAGGCAATCAATCGAAAACTCGGCTCCATCTCCGCAGATTTTACATCAGTACGCATTTTAGTTCCCCCCATCCTTTTGAGCCTATCTGTCCCCGATGCCAGAAAGATAATCAGTTGTAACTACACAAGTACCAGTACTCCTAATTAGATCTAGCCTGGCGTTGAGGTTCCTGCAAAGCCACACGATCGGCAACTGGCGGCGAGCACCTCGGTTACCTTGTGGCGCTCATAATACGCACGTGGTACAGTTTAGTGCAGGCGCTACCAACTGCTCTCTGAATTGAGAAGTGCCTATAACTCCTCACCGCCTGGCATGACTAGCCTGAGAAGCTGGCTTCAAGTCGCACAGCTGCTAATAGAGCGTTTTAGCTGTGCCAGTTGAACAGAAAGTCGGACAGGTTGGACAGAAATTCTAACTATTTTAGGCAAAGGCTTGCAAGGATTCAGCCAATAAGAGGTGCAGGACTTTCTGTCCAAGTGCTCGACTTTCTGTTCAACTGGCGCAGCTCAAACGCTCTAATGCTGTGAGCCAGAACCAGACCGCTCTTCACACAAGGTACCGTGGGCAAGTAAAGTGCGTAAAACAGCAACACACTCTCAGTGCTGCTGAATCTCGGAGTGCGTAATCTGACAAGCCTTAATGACCCTACGACTTCTCGTAGGCTGAGGATGTGTGCCCCATAATTAGGTACTCTAATTTTTGCTAACATCGTACACCGTTCAAAGACGTCTATCTCATGCCTTTGTAGGATTGTTTCAGACGAGGAAGTTTAGCACTCGAAGTAATACACCAGCTTGCGCACAACTTTGTGCTACATCATAACATGACTACATGTATTTAAGACACCCTTTATCCTTAATTCCTCTGACTCTCAGGTGAAGTGATCTTCTTAACTCTTTATATGATACTGGCATAAGTCCTGACTTTTCTCATCAAACCGGCTGAGGATACATTCTCTCCGAACCTGTGTTGGATATTCGGAATTTCTCCCGCCTCAAAGCTGAGCAATCGAATGTTAGGGGCACATCCAGGGCTTACCTGACGTTTGATGGTCAGTGCACGGAAAACCGGTACACTTACCTTAGTACCACAGGGAACCTACGTCCCAGGTAGGAGATTGTGAACAATTTAAACTCCGGGCAGGACGGTGTCGATCTGTGGCTAGCATTTTGTAGCTACTCTTAGACGTGACTATGGTGCCAGGTTTGGGCGTCAAAAGCGTAGACACAGCAGTCTCGCATTACTCTACGTGCCGTGTATCACAGTACATTGTAAAAGTAAGCATCGCAAGGCCAGGGTATCTGGACGCGCAATCCCAAAGCTCTATGAATCGAGGTTACTGGTCAGTTCACCCCAACGACTAATTATGAATTACTCCCCCTGCGTGACTACATCTTTCACGGTACTTCTTATCGTTCATTCGTACCTGTGAATAAGCGAGTGAAGTACAGGACTTAATGTTGACTCTGCCCGCCTGGCTAATACTGTTGGTTTCACTGTCTTACCGACGGGCTATTACTTTGTCGTGGTGGCAAGGGATCAGAAAATGGTTTGTCATTGTATAGGGCGAGCATTTCTAGGTACTCTATGTGGGTCCACCGTGGTTTCATCGGACTCCATTGATGGAGTGCATACTGATACTGCTTCTAGAGGGGCCTTAGCTGTGAGTATATATTACTAGACACACTCTTCCTGTTTTTTATCAAGGAGCCCAGCTCACGGACCTACCTTGAGGCCTTTTCTCGTCCTGCGAATAACTCTATATGTACCCCAGAAGATAACCCCCCAGGCTTCGCCAGGGACATACGTATGTACCCACTAATACTTTAAACCGGCGACACACAAAGTTGCTATGTAATCAAGGACACCCCCACCGGTTCCAGAACGGCTACGGCTGCGGAAACCTCTCAAAGTTATGCCTTACTAATCGCGGATGCTAATAGTCGGGTATTTCGTATGGAACGGACAATGAGCAGATCTGGGATAGCAATTGATTACCCACATAGACGGGGGGAAAGATGCCCGTAATGTCGAGTTCCGGAATAGCAAGGCGTGTCTGTATGCGGCTAAATCTCTCAGAAAAGGTCAGTACATGTATAAAGCCCACCACTGGTAAATTGGGGAGAACTGTTGTATTTTTGGAACAATCTTTACGGACTTTCTTCCGAAAAGTATGACGAGAAACCTAACGGCGCGGAAACGGATCAAGACGCGACCGCAGGAATTTCTTAGGGCTAGGGCGTATGTAGATTCGATATTTCCGGAGCTACCAGATGACAGGAATGGTAGATTATTTCTCCGATAATTGACACTAGGTTCAGGGTAGTTTCTCCAACCTGACGAGATATCTAGAGTGCGTGATAGTTGTTTCTCCATAGACCTGCCCCTGACAACGCATCGATCTCCGTCCCGCCGGAGATTCTCTGAAGTATAGACGGCTGTTATCCCAGGGATCGCGGCATAGGCTACATATAGGTATGCTGTTGACTAGGGAAATAACCTAACATCGCTCCACCCGCTATACATTAGCAGACTCCCTGCTCATAAATCTAGAAGTTTTTACCCAAATAGTACTAAATAGTCGGCTGTGGTACTTCTACTGAATTCTTCAGAGCTTAAAGGTCTAGAATCTTTACCCAAGTGTAGTGTGCCAACATCAGACATGGCAGTATTTCTGGACACCAGGCTTGCTTTACTCGCAGCTACCATAAACTTGCTCGATGAACAGCATATGACATCAAGACACCAGAGATATCGATAAGAAGACCGTTGAACATGAATAAGCCAAGTAAAGTTTGTTCAACGGTGGCTTTTAATTTCCAGAGGCGTTGGTGGTGTTTGGAAGGTGAGGTGTTGAGATGTTTCCCTCTCTTAAAACTGCGTGGTCCTGATAATCGATTAACTAAATGTCATTGGATCTGTAGCTTATCTCAGCCTTGCAATACCTTTTGTCCATAGCTTTCTAGAAATCATTTCAGTCAGTAGCTATTGCACTTGGCATCGAGTGATACCCTGTGATCAATATGATCACGAGGTATCTTGAGGCGAGGAGAAGGGATTGTATTGACTTGCGTCGGGTTGTATTAGATACTAGTATCTCTCGGGTTGTCTTGATGTTTCTTGGGACGTCGACTGTAAAAACCTTTTTGAAATGACAATATATGAGACGTCACGAGACAAGAAGGCTACGGTGTATCGAGGTGCATCGACCTCACTGGGAGCATATCTCAGACTGTTTCGTACATATACTCAAAGAAGAACACGAGTACTCGCACTTGAAAACCATTCTAATCATAGTTGAGATTCGTTTATGGGTTGGACTAAAGCTTCGAACCCTAATCTTGAGCGAATAGCCTTCTACAGATCGCATCTGCATATGGGAGGATGAAATGAGACGGATAGCCTAACTTGCGGCCATATTAGGATACGGAAATTAAGATGGAAGATAATTTCGTTGGAGGTCAGGATGTGGAGGTATTAAGATTTGAACGTGGGGGCGAAGGCACATAGTAGAATAGTGAGATTGGAGTGAGAATGATGAGTTTATATGAAAATACTGAGCGAGTGATGTAGTGACGACTGCGATGAGGGTTGATTTAAGTTCGAAGTTGAGCAGGGAATGCTCGCGCTAAGCTTGCTGAACCCATATTGTTCGTTCATTGGGCGTATTTTAAATCCTATTTCACCGAGGATACACTCGGCACGTATGCACAGTTTACGTGCATGTACAGCGCATAGATTCTCTCTGAAGTGTGGGGATCCCATGTGATGGGCAAGGGATCTTCTCGCGTGGTAAACTCTAACTGGACCTCATCTTATAGACCAGTTATTATGACCCAAAGACCCGATTCATCGAGTTCCAGCACGCAATTTCATGCAAGAGCCACGTTTCTGTGCAAACCAAGGTGTTGAAACCATGATCAGTACATGGATAGACATTGCATGTAGTTTGGTACATACATTACCTTATACCACGTGCCTTTCCATAGAACGGTTCTACAGGCCCCATAAACCTACAAGTCAACTAAACATGTGAGCATCTGCGCAGGATCTAGAAGATCACAATCATAAAAGCTACTTTGCATGATCTCCTGATTGGCCATGTAGACATTTTCTTGGAGGATCTCGTGCAACCGCAGATATTCCATATCGATCAATAGATATTTGTTCACTTTCTCCTCTTAATTGGGCTCTCTTCTGAACACCGTGGTATGTAGTTACTTGATAAAAGTGCCTGTAATTCGCTATCTGGATCATTCTTCACCACGTCAGGTTAGTTTTTCCTCACGAACACCTTCGCAGAGCGAGAGTACTCAACAATAGTTATCACGAAATTCTTCCCTCACCGAGAGATACCCCTTAGGCTGCGTCCAGGCGAGCTTTTTATTCAGGCTTGGAGTATCTGCCATACGTGTTTATAAGAACACTAGTCTCTCATACTGCTTATGAGCTACACCTAGCCTCTCTGCATGTGAATCACCGGGGATATTCTTCACGGAGAGAATTATACCGAAAGGTATGATTCATAAGACATCACTCGATATTTGTAAATGCATTCTTCTTCATCTCATGATACGTTTGTGATTCAGAGGTAACGATTACGTTGATCCAACACTGGTCAAGCATGATTCTGAGGAAATGTCGTATCACTTCTGCATCAGCAATACACACATCCTCCCAGTCCAAGTTTTTGTCCTCCGAATACCCGTTCTGTGTTTCAGATAGGCACAAAAGAAATGCTATTTAGTATTAATAATGGTTTCTTCACGGAATGCATTCCCCCGAGAAAACAAGAATCACAAAATGTCATTCGAAGCCTGTCACCCGGAGTAATCACAAGTTAAGCTTCGACCAATACTGGCAAGGCATACACTGGCTGTGCGGGGTGCGGGGTGCATGAATATAGTAACTACCGAGGCTTCAGGATAGTTGAGGAGGATAGCCGGAAGGCCGGAAAAGTTGAATCCGTCGGATATACGTTTAAGCATGATCAAGCATCAAGCTCTTTCCAGACGGCAATGAGTGAAAATAGCGGTAGCTATCACATAACCCCGATTTGTCCAGATTTTAAGTTTGGGGTCATAAGCTAAGTAATATTAAATCTCATCTATTTACAATCAAATCGTTAATTCGTAATGTTTTAGGTAAACATTTACTCTTTCCGAGCAGGCGCATCTTCTAGATGCACACCACTTGCTTTCTCTGCCCGCTCAAACACCCCCGTTTCCTCTCCTACCCTCCGTCTTTCTACAGTCTTTCCACCTGTACTCCATACGCCTCCAGTGATACCACCGCGGTCAAAGAGGTGGTCTACATCCTCCAGCTCAAGGCCTTTCGTCTCTGGGAAGAAGCAATACACAATCGGCACCATTCCAGCATTGAAAACAGCAAAGATGATGAATGTCTTCCACCCGATATTGTCGATGGCAATTGGTGTAATCTCAACTACCGTAAACACAGCAAGCCAATTGAACGCCGACCCTATGGCCTGTGCGCGGGACCTGAGTCGAGTGGTTGAGACTTCGGAGCCATAATACCATGGTACGGGGAGCCAGCCGATGCCCAGGAAGATCTGAAAGATGAAGACCATTGCACAGGCACCGTATGCAGCGGACACAGATTCAAGCGAGAGCAGAATTGAAGCCAGTGAGAAACATAGGCAGAGACCGACAGAGGAGAACATGAGGAGAGGACGACGACCAAGTCTATCAACTATCCACAATGGGATAAAAGAGCCGACCAGATAAGTCAGGGATGTGCAGCCACCGAGGATGAGAGACATATTGCGGGTGAGTCCCATAGTCTGCTGATAAACAACTGGGGCATAGTAGTTGATCATGTTTGCACCTATGGACCGAGTGATCAGTTGTGACTAACGCAATTTGCAGTGAAGTTTCTTTTTTACCTGTTGCTTGTTGCATGACCATGACAGCAATTGCAAGACAGATTCTTCGAAAGTTCTGAATCTTGCCACCGATAAAGAGTTCTTTGAATTTGAATGGACCGCCTTGACTTTCTAGCGCTACCGACGCCTCAATGTCCTGACGGAGTTCGACTATTCTTGGATGATCGGGGAAATATTCCTCTCCCTCAAGATCTGCCAAAACCTGGGCTGCTTCTTCACCGCGATCTTGAGCGACAAGCCATCTATGAGGCTGTTAGTACAGCCGTACTCGACCAGGGGAGATCTGGATGTATACCTGGGGGTTTCCGGAAGCATGAGGATTTGCAAGACGAGAAACAAGGCAAAAAACGCCTGGAATCCAAGAGGAAGACGCCATTGCATGGGGCCATCATTGAAAGATGTGCCATAATCCAACCAATAAGCTATGAGGAGTCAGCACCATCTATGTTTATCCGCAATCATGGGGCAGTTTTACCAATACAAAGTCCAAAGATGGTAACGACAGCCTGTGTAGTAAGTAGCATACCCCTGACTCTTGCCGGGGAACACTCTGCCTGATAGACCGGAATAGTGCTAGAGTTGAAACCATTTCCCTGCATAAAGAGCATTAGCACTATGCATGTTTGCACCGTCGATACGAAACGCGCATTCAACTTACAATACCGGTCACAATTCTACCAACAATCAACTGGGCCAGTGTAGTAGAACTCGTCAAGATTGCGGTCCCAACCAACATTGTTATCCCACCAGCCATAATCATACGCTTCCGGCCCATCTTCTCTCCGATGTAAAAACACAATATCGATCCAACAACACAACCAATCTAGGTCGCATGACACAAGTTAGCTTTTTCGATGGCCATCGGCAATGGATCGAGGGGAGTAAGCATGCAAACTTACATCATAGATAGCGACAATTGTACCCTGTGTACTGGTACCTGGGTAGTTGAAATCCTTTGCGAAGCGGTTATCTGCGCCGATGATGCCGCTCATGACACCTGCAATGTGATATATGATTAGTCGACGGTGTGCGGATTTGAAGGGAACGGTACCGGCGCAGGTGTCAATGATTACCTTGGTCGTATCCCAGGAGCAGGAAGCCTTGACAACAGCATGCTGTGATTGTGTAGACGAGAGCATTGCCGTACAATCTAGGTTTCCACATGACTTTTTGATGCGTGGCTGATGCTTCTGCCTCTGGTATTGTTGTTTGATCAGTATTATAAGGCTCGTTATTCTGTTTGATGGGACCTTCTTTCTAGTGCTTCCCCACAACAAGCTGCCGACGGTAGATGATGCGGAGAAATGGAATTCCAAAGTTGCCCGTCCCCGGTTTTTATATATAAAAGAGATCTGGGGTAGAGAGTAGCACGTGGTAGGTATGTATGTAGGGCAATATCATCATACATCATGTAATATAATTAATATACACGTCCTCCTCCTCCTCCCCAAGATTGGGGCGAATTATAGAATATCGCGTCCTAAGCGAGTAATCAGTTACCTGGGATTCGTCTCTGGGGTTTCGGTTGAACGTTTTCCGACAGCAGCGGTCCAAGAAACGATGGACTGGACGAATCGCCGGGATGGGCCCGGCGTGGGTGACGATTCACGGCAGTGATGTTCTCGAGGAGTGTTGGCAGCATTGCATTCCAGGAGTAGAGGTGGCCAGTGTTGTATGTGAAAGAATAGCCGTATTATCATGATATTAACATTGTATATATAGATTGTTCTTGGGAGCAATCTATCCAAGCTACAGTAAAGATTGCGGTGTTTGGATCATGGAGATCACTCGGCAGTAGATTAGTGAGATGGATACGACAAGCCACCACCACGATCGGGTACCCGTCCACACTAGCTCAACCCACAACCTAAACCTACAACTAGCCGAACCCAGCCCACAGTTTCCCCACCACGCCAGCCAGCCAGCCAGGATTCCCCACAAAGAACGCTTATCCAGCGGGGGGGTTAAAGCCATGTAACCTTCTTGCAAGTAACTATGGGGTAAGGGTTGTGTGTGGCACTGTGTGCGCCCCATTGCAACCAACCTCGGGAGTTTGCGCCTTCGGTACAATGCCCACCGAGCAGCCGACGGCAGGCAGAGAGGGGCGTTGGTGTGGTGAGAAGGGAAGGTGTGTGCGGTCAGAGAGAGAGGGAAAAAAAGATGTTGCTTTTACCCCGCCTTTCCGGGTTCCCCGTTTGTGATTCGCTGGAAGGGAAGAGCATCTCATGTGAGAGAAAGGATGCGATGCTGCATGCAGGGGGGTGGGGCGTGGGGCGTGGGGCGTGGGAAAGGGTTTCTGTTTCTGCTGTGAGAGAGATGGAGGGAGGGGGGGAGAGGGCTGGACAGAGGGACGGAGGGAGCGATGCACAGAAGAGACGCATGGAGAGAGAAAGGCAGACACAGACAGCGCAGAGGCCGAGAGGGGATGCGTAGCCGGCTGAAAACGGACTGGTGTGGGGAATGCAGCCCGGGGTGTGCGAGGTGAAGTGATGAGTGATGGGCTGTGTCGCATACCCGGGAGTGAGTGTCTGTCTGCTATCTCTCACTCGTCTCTTCACTCACACTCTCACTCACTCTCACTATCTATCTCCCTGGCAGTCTCTCTCTCTCACTACCGCGCGCTCTCCCGCTCACGTGGGCAGATGGAGCTCCTCCTCCTCCTCCTCCTCCTCCTCCTCCTCCTCTCTGCGCAGGGCTAGTCCCGCAGAAGAGTGTCGGGCCCGGAATTAGTTTTCCCCCCCCGGGACACCTCTGGGGATGGATGGATGGATGGATCGATGCTTTGGTGGCCAGTTATGTTGGGCCCGGTGGCCCTTGGGTCTTGGGTCTTGGGCATATATAAGGAAGCTCCATCTGCCGCTCTGTGTTTGTTCTTCTTCTGGGCATCCGTCCTTCTTTGTGTTCTCATTCTTCTCCTTCTTTATAGAGACAGTTATATAAAGAATTGTTCTTCTTCTTCACGCAATCCCTCTATCTCTCGCAGAATCTCTACAAGCAATGTCGGAAATTAAGCAGTGGCCCACTATCAAGGCCATCAAGACCTATGTCGTCGACGGTGTCGGCTCGGGCGGTGATTATCACAATGTTGCCGGCGGCCATTGGTATTGTCCCCAATCCCAATTACCACCCCAATTACTGCCCCAATTGTCATCTCCGTGATCTATCGCAGTAGCAGTAGACGCATTGCAGCCGTAGATTGTAGCAGTAGTACTAACGCCCCCCCCACCCAGGCTCGTCGACTCCCCCATCGCAAACCCCATGTCCCGCTTCGAGAAATACAAGCACTCACGCACCTCCTGGGGCATCAACGTGCTCGGCTCCTTCTGCGTCGAGATTGAGGCCACCGATGGCACCACGGGCTTCGCCACCGGCTTCGGCGGTCCCCCCGCCTGCTGGATCGTGCACCAGCACCTCGAGCGCTTCCTGATCGGAAATGACCCGCGCAACCTCTCGCTCATGTGGGACCAGATGTTCCGCGCCACAACCTTCTACGGCCGCAAGGGCCTGCCCATCGCCACCATCTCCGTCGTCGACCTGGCCCTGTGGGACCTCCTCGGAAAGATCCGCGGCGAGCCAGTGTATAAGATGATTGGCGGCGCGACGAGGGACAAGCTGAGTTTCTACTGCACGGGGCCTGACGCAGTCGCGACAAAGGAGATGGGATTCTTTGGTGCGAAGTTGCCGCTGCCGTATGGGCCTGATGATGGCCACGAGGGGCTGAGGAAGAATGTGGACTTCTTGAAGAAGCACAGGGAGTCGGTGGGACCGGATTACCCCATTATGGTCGATTGCTATATGAGCTTGACAGTGCCCTACACGATCCAGCTGGCGACGGCATGTCTGGATCTGAACATCAATTGGTGGGAGGAGGTCCTTCACCCGGATGACTTTGACGGCTTCCAGCAGCTCAAGCAGGCGCTGCCGCAGCTCAAGTTCACTACCGGCGAGGTACTTTGCCCCCCTCTCCCACACACATACATAACTGCGCAGATGTACTAACTGAAAAACAGCACGAATACACCCGCTATGGCTTCCGCAAACTCATCGAAGGCCGCAACCTCGACATCCTCCAGCCCGACGTCATGTGGGTCGGCGGTCTCACCGAGCTCCTCAAAGTCACCGCCATGGCCGCCGCTTACGACATTCCCGTCGTCCCGCACGCCTCGGGCCCCTACTCCTACCACTACGTTGTCTCGCAGTCAAACTGCCCCTTCCAGGAGTACCTCGCAAACTCGCCCGACGGAAAGTCTGTCTACCCTGTGTTTGGCGATATGTTCATTGATGAGCCCGTTCCCATTAATGGCTCTATGGATGTGTCCGTGCTGGATAAGCCGGGTTTCGGGCTGGTGTTGAATCCGAAGGCGAGGTTGGTGGATGCCCGGTTTTTGTTGAGTCCTACTCCGCAGAAAGCGTTGACGCCACCGGCTGCGGGCGTGGCGCCGAAGGCGGTGAATGGCGCGAATGGGGTGAAGGCGCAGGAGGAGAGTGCGCATTGACTAGCGAGGCGGTGGAGGAGGTTTTTGAAATAGACTTCCTGGTACGATGATAGAGAGTGGATGGATGGATTATCTGCATCTGCATTTCTAGACATGTTAGGAATTTATGTTTGATTATGGGATTGTGTTTTTTTTTTGTTTTATTTCTTTGGTTGCTTTTTTATTTGTATTTATCTAGCTATTCTCTCTCTCTTCTCCGGTTTCACAATGTTTTTTTTCTGGGGGGAACCCAAGGCCAAGGCCGGCGCAACAGCAGCAGCACAATTTCATGCATGGATATCATTTCCACACCTTTTTTTTCTTTTTCCCGCCGATACAAAAATGGCAATCTAAAGAAATAAAGGGGAAGCCGGGGTCACAACCACGTTTTTTTCCTGCAAAGGGAATCATTTCACCCTCACGATCCCGCGCTATCACGTGATTCTCTAAATAATTAGATAAATAATCCCCGCCTCTGCCCCGCAATTGGGGATAAAAAGAGCTTTAGAGAATCTCCCGAGCTTTGGTTAGTAGTGTCAGTGATCAGAAGAAGCATATAAGGCCCGCAATCCCCGCATTGAACTCCTCAATTCTCCAAATTCCCCAAAACCTCAAAAACCTCACCTCCCAACACCACCACTCCCGCACCGCCAAGAAATCAAAAAAAAAATGTCCACCAAACTCCTCACCAACAAAGTCGTCGCCATCACCGGCGCCGCCACGGGCATCGGCCGCGCCATCGCAATCGCAATGGCCACCCACGGCGCAAAACTCGCCATAAACTACCTCAACGACACGCAGTCCGCGTCCATCGCCAGCCTGCGCGCCACCATCGAGTCCGCCCCCATCTCGTCCTCCCTCCTCGCCATCCCCGGCGACATCTCGCTCCCCGCCACCTCCGAGGCCCTAATAGAGCAGACGGTCGCAAAATATGGCCGCCTGGACGTGTTTGTGTCCAACGCGGGGGTGTGCCAGTTCGCCGACTTCCTCACGCTGCCGAAGGAGCTGTATGAGCGCACGGTAAGGATCAATCTTGATGGCGCGTTCTATGCGACGCAGGCGGCGGCGAGGCAGCTGGTGAAGCAGGGCGGCGGGGGGAGCATCATTGGCGTGAGCTCGATTAGTGCGCTGGTGGGCGGCGCGGGGCAGACGCATTATACGCCGACGAAGGCGGGCGTGCTGAGCTTGATGCAGAGCTGCGCGGCGGCGCTGGGGAAGCATGGGATAAGGTGCAATGCGATCCTGCCGGGGACCATCAAGACGGCGCTGAATGAGGAGGATCTGGAGGATGAGGGGAAGAGGACGTATATGGAGGGGCGCATACCGCTGGGGAGGACGGGGGTGCCGGAGGATGTGGCGGGGCCAGCGGTGTTTTTGGCGAGTGATTTGTCGAGTTATATGGTGAGTTTTTGATTCCTTTTAGTGTTTTTTTGGGGGTGGTGATTTCGCAAATTTGGGTGTGGTTTTTTGTGGTTGTGGTGCTGATTCGGTGTCAATGATATTTAGACAGGTGCGCAGTTGCTGGTTGGTGAGTGCAACCTCTTCTCTTCTCTGCTTTCTTCCTTGCTTCATGCGATATCAATCGTGAGTGAAACACAGCTGACACAATCCCAATCCCTCCAGACGGCGGCCTCTTCGTCAACCTCCAGTAGTAGTATGTAGTAACGGTGCCGTAGAGCCGGGCTTTCCTTTTTCTTTTTCCTTATTTCTCGAGCTCAAACATGTATGCATAACACAATGGAATATACCCTCCGGATCCTACTATATCGTCGGAGAAAAGGATAGCAATTAAGATCTCTAATCTCGAACCTACATATACATCCGTGACACAAGGCAATTAATGTATCTCATCGCGCACCAGGCGCCATCGATACTGTCGAGATGGTGAATGTAGTAGAGCCCAGTGCGTGCTATACCCACGAGTCCGCAAAGTCACACCAGGCTCTGAGACCCGCAGACGTCAGTTTAGGCACAACTCACAGACCCCTGCCGCCCGCATCCCTGCCGCCCAGCTAGACTGAATACGGAATAGCCAGCACAGAGCCGCACACACACCGTTCGCCCGCAGCTCGGGTCAGTGCCCACCGAGCGCCCACGTGCAAAGTTTATCCGGCCCCGCGGGAGAGTGCCGAGAAGCGAGAGTCCCCGCGACGCAGAACCCCGCCTGCGCGTCATGGCGTGTCACTCGCAAGCCATGCCCGGAGTGCGCGCCGAGCCCTAGCCCTGTGGGGGATTTCCCCCTCATCTCATGCAGCCCGGGCGGCCGAGGTCTGGCTGGGCTGATGCAATGGAGGGCGGGAGGACAGGTGCTGTAAATACCTATCTAGAAGCTATATCTCGCTCTTCTTGTTGGTTAGACCTATTCTACTCATCTGCCAGCCATACTCACCACCAAAAAGACAGAAACAAAAAAAAAAAGAACCAAGAAACACAGCCAAATATAAAATATACCCAAAGATGTCACGCTTCCTCCCCCCCGCCGGCGGAATCTACGTCCCCGTCCCTACTTTCTTCGTGAGCAAGTCCGCTAGCACCTATAGCAGCACTAGCCCGCCCCTCGACCTCGAAGCGCAAGCTGCACACTCCATCCACCTCGCAAAGTCCGGCTGCCGCGGCCTGGTACTTCTCGGCTCCACCGGTGAGGCCGTGCACCTCACACGCGCGGAGCGGGCCTCGCAGATCTCGTATGTGCGGCAGGCGCTCGAGGCCGCGGGCTTCAAGGACTACCCACTGATTGCGGGGACGGCGACGAACGGGATTGAGGAGACGGTTCAGCTGCTGGCGGAGGCGAAGGAAGCCGGCGCGGGATGGGGGTTGGTGTTGGCGCCCGGGTACTTTGCGGGCGCGGTGGATCAGGCGGGTATTAGAGGGTGGTTTGAGGCCGTGGCAGATGAGAGTCCGATTCCGGTTATGATGTTGGTTTGCTCCTTTCTTCAGCTAAATTGGATAATTATAAGTGTATGATTGCTGATTCTATCTTGTGGGTGAAGCTATCATTACCCCGGCGTATCCAACAACGTCAAGATCCTCCCCTCTACATTCCGCGCCCTCGCCGCACACCCAAACATCGTCGGCGGCAAGCTCTCCCACGGCGACATCTCCGTGCACGCCCAGATCGCACTCGACCCTTCCATCGACACCGACCACTTCCACCTCTTCACCGGCCTCGGGCAACAGCTGTTCCCCGTACTACAGGTCGGTTGCTTCGGCGCCATTGACGGTCTCGCCGGCATCTTCCCCAAGAGCGTCGTGGCGCTGTATAATCTTGTGACGGCCGAGGGCCCGCTCGACACAGAGCGCCTGCAGAAGATCCGGGCGCTGCAGTATATGGTGTCGAGTGCAGAGGAGCTGATTGTGAGTTGGGGGACGGTGGGGATCAAGGAGGCGGTCAGTAGGGTGTTGGGCTTTGGGGACGTGGATGGTGGGAGGTTACCGTTGGCGAAGGGAATGGGAGAGGGTGAGTGGGCGAGGTGGGCGCCGATTATGGCGGATATGGGGAAGATTGAGGCGGCGTTGTAGGCCATAACCTTGGGTGTGGGGGAGCTTTATTGTAAATAGTTATTAATTAGCGAATGGAATGAGATTGATCTTCCAAGTGATCAATGATTGGATTCCTTACCCGCGAATACTGTGATTTATGGACAATTCTTTAGTAAGACTCATCTAAGTAGTTAGGCTGGTCTCTGAGCCAGACGTATACCCACAGGGCGGAGTTATCTTGAATATTTTAAACTCTAATGCTACAAGCAATTGCGAGAAGACAAGGGGTGTAAATGACACTAGGAAGTGGTAGGAAATCAACTTTGCATGGCATTTTGCTTGATAGTTAGAGACCGGAGGGTTGATGAAATAGAGAGGAGTTGGTGACGGGAAATACTGCTTAGGTTAAATAGATAAATACATGTATATACACACGTGTATTCCAGCCTCTAAAAGACCAGCTAAGTGTGTTATCGGATTCTGTAGCTCTCGCAAAGCTTAAAGTGTAAGTTGACCAGCTTGGCAACATGTGTACTACGGGCGTGAGGGGAAAGCCAAACGACCTGTTTGCAGTCAAAGATGCCGAGGGAAGTTTCTCTACCCATCTCAATCTGCAGATCCAGCTGGTAAATTACATTGAAGCCAATGTGAGGGCGGGAAAGACTACATGTATGTTGTTTAGATAAGCCGAATCACAAGGAATCACTCGTGCCTAGCACGGCCGGAGGAGGCCGCCATCACCACACAGGCGTGCAGCAAAGCAATTCAGCTAGCGGACCCATCTACATACATGTACATACATACATGTGCCCCGGCACAGAACACCCTACCGCTAACTTCGGAAAATTAAATTTCCGACACCAGTTCGGCCCATCGTCCTGCATAGCATCAGATATTGCCAAGCTAGCTCCCTTTCTTTTGTCCCTCGCTTGCTTCCCTTCTATCCTTCTCCTGTTTTCTCTCCGTCTTTCTCTTTCTCCTCTTCATATGTTCCTCACACGTATTTTGTCTCCCCTTTCACCATCATCAACACCCATCCTGTAATGACTTTTCCATCCCCCGTCCCGTGTGGGCGAACCCCCTTCTCTACGTATCCGCCGCCTAGCATCGAGGTCTTCACTTATATCGGGTTGGTTTCTGGCTCTGTCCACTGATAGAGGAGACCCCTCCGATACAGGTAAAGACTTGGATGCTATGTATATCGAAATGTAGATTCTCAAGTCTCGCGTTTTTATGTAGGCACGTAAGTAGCAGCTCGAATTCACTTTTAATAAAGTAAGTTAACGGCCGAATGTCCTCTTAATATATAGATATCAGCTAACAGCGCTCGAAGGCCCGGGGTATGGTTACCCTGTCATTTATAGGATGAAAAAGCCGGGAATGCATATATAGCAATATCACCGCTCCTTTGTTATACCGGTTGGGACCCAAGCCTAATGTGCTTCCAGCACATAGCTGCCGAGAAAGTCTCACTCGAACAGAACGCAAGGGCCTGAAAATAATAAACCCTTGTTGGTCCCCACTCGGGAATAGTGCAACTTCAACCCAGCCTATAGCTTGTCTACCTTGCGTAGGGCTCCGTTATGTATGTACACAATGCGAAAATAGCCTCGGGTATACATCTGCTGGTAGGGGCAGGTGCATGATCGTCCTCTCGAGATGAAAAACCTACGACAAGGCAGTAGGACTATGAAGCATCCAAAAGCCTGATGCCGGGATGCATTGGCGGGGGTCCGGGGTAAGGCGTGGAGCCCAGAGCCACATGGATACATCTATCGAGGCCTCCCACCTATATATGAACCATATCCTAGTGAAGGTGGATACGAGGTTACCTGTTATCTCTTGCCACCCTACCCTCGTATACCTCATCTATAAAAAAGCGGACCTGGGTGGATCTGAACGAAGGGCAGCAAGAGACAGTCTAGGAACGAGGCTAGACCCAGGGATACCAACAAGTTGTGTAGCTGTCGTCTTCTCAACATCCTGGCAATATAGGGGCGCTTTTCCATAAGTATTAGCCATTTGGATTATCTCATAGAGTCGTGGGTTGCTCCCAGAAGTACATTATGTATAATGAGGAGATTTATCCATCAACGATTACATCAAAATCTCAATCCTATAGGCCGAGGGGAGTCTATCCAGGTATTTTATTAGACGACAACGTCACTTCTTGCGTGGATTTGGCGCACCCAGGCTAAATGTTACACCACTTTGAGGACTATAGTGGGTCACCATTGATCACTCGGACCAATGCATTTTACCTCGGAGGTTAGATCGAAATATCCCTGATACAGGAATAACAAACCGGCTCGAGTTGATCATACAGAGGTCCTGTTCAGCTCCCTTTTAAAACAAATCTTCCTGCAGCTGATCACTTGATAATGGTCGCTGTTACTACCGGCTGGGGCTGGAGAGCAAAGACCTTTAGACAGGACCCCGGACAAAAGAGCGAGTGGACATAAGGCCTGGCAGGCTAGAGAATAAATGGACTAAAGGATAAAACAGGATCTATTTCCCCGTGATAATCGAGTCACAGCCTCCATAGGCCTTGCAGGTTTGGCTCGCCGCTCGGCGACAGCCATGTGCGTGGTATTCTAGTTAAGCTCCACTGCATGATATTTGATCTATTATAATCTCAAATACTACATACAAGTACCGAAATACGATAAGTGGTTTGGTTTGTGGGAAAGGACGGTGATAGTTGGGTAGACCATGCGGAATCCACAAAGCGATGAAATATCACAAATACAGGATAAACTGTTACACCAAGCCCACGAGCCAATTTTCCAAGCCATGTGATGGAGCAGGCCTGGAACCTCCTATTAAATCTTAATCAACCTAAGGCTCTGAGATTTATGATTCAAACCTTATTTTTATGCGCTTACGGCACTTGGCAGCTGTGTTTCTCGTTTTTGGTGCGGATGCAACCTAAATGGTGAAACATTTCCGAGACTCCCCTTGAGATGGCGTTTGAACGATAAAGAATAATAAGGTTGAGTCTGTGGACCTTCCCTGATTGCTGTTAATAAAAAAGGTCATATGAGAAGCTGTGGCTTTACGCCACATGTGAACCATAATATGGCGGGCGACATAAGTACAAAATGGACTTTCAATACATACCAATCGTTACCAGTATCGATCGAATAATTGCTATTTACCATCGGAATTAAGTCTATAACTAACTGACAACTAACACAGAACCCATGACACGCACTTGTATCCTTAACCAGGCGGTCGATTGATTCTTCGTGATATGTAAATATATGATATTGAGGTCGCACGTATATAAGGCGATAAATATCATAGATACATTGAGAAGGGGTCCCCAAGTTACAATTCTAGGCTCTGCATGCAGCCGACTGATCAACACGGGTCCACCCTGGACCTCCATGGTTCTAATTAAGCGAATATCAAAGATGCTATGTGTACGACGGTCAGAGCCACCACGACTTTCGTTTGATACTTAGCTACGCCAGATAAAGGCTTTTTGTCCTCTAACGCTCTCTTTCTAGTACCTCGCGATGGCGTTTATTGGCTATTTAGAAGGGCACAAATAGAAGTGGCAAAGCTGAAATGTAAACCGCGTTTAATGAACCACTAGTTTAGGCTCGAGTTCTCGATTATAGCTTGAGGCGCTTTTGTGGCTGGCTGAGGCTTACTATCTCATGTATATGTGCCCATGTATATCCACCCTATACCAGGAAGAAAATGACACTGAGAGCCATGCTGTTCATTTTATCATCAGGTGGTATGTACTACCCTTGACAACTAATAACAAGTCTTTCGTGGTCCTGTACGAGCTCAGTAAGCTTAAGAAGCAGATACTGTACCCTGATCCCTGTGACGATTATCCCCAACCATCAAGCTTTTCCAGTTGACTGGTTCCACAAAGCGTTCATGCAACAGAATTCGAACGAAACACCAGGTGACAATAAATCTATATTAATAGAGTTTATAAGATTCCTGCAGCATATAGATGGGAAGTCGGATCTGAATTCGTCTTACTTTGGAGATAAACACCACCTCCAAATTCCAAATTAATCACGACATGTGCGTCTGTTCCATAGGAGCACTTGGCCCTATTAATTTATCACTACGCTGCTTTATTTCTGGTGCTCTCTTCCAAAGCAATCGAGTCAACTAGTTGCATCCCCCCAGTTTCAGAATTTCAATTACCTAGAATTTCGGGGGTGTCCCCGGTAGGTGAATAAAAGTGGCATAATAATTCTAAACCCTATTCGATCACCTGTACAACTGTGTGTTCACGGCTTGTGTGGTGGGTCGTAGGTCTGATAATGATGTCTCTTTGTATGTTCCTCGATGAACATGCTCCTGATCCGAGACATTCAGTCTTGCCTAAAGTAGCAGCACTGTGCCTAAGGCCGGATTCTGAAACATATTCATATATATAAGATCGTGTGGTAGCCGACATATGTGTCTCTGATTTGAAGATTGATCCATCTAAGACATCAAAGCTTGGCATTGTTATATCGGCCACCGGATATAGACTTAGTACAGTATAAGAGGCGTCCAGCGTGAAAAACTGTATCTAGATTGGAATCAATAGGCGATGGATGCTTGAAATTTGTATTTGGTGCCTGATCTATATCCAATTGCACATCCTCGTAGCATATATGCGTTACAGTGAAGTCTCATATAAATGTTGAACCCTATATACTTCGTTATTCTCTACATACAACCTGCATTGATATGACTTGAACCTAGATTATAAACCTGTATATACGAGGTATTTGTTTATTCTTGGGTTGATCTGTATATAGATACCCAATCCGTTCACCACGTCCACCATGAAGTCCTGTCATGTTCAGATACAGAAGTTAATGTGTCCAATGACTGGAGCATCCATATTTGCCTGGTGGGCCGGGGTTCCATAATTCAAGTCATGACCTTATGGTTGCTAGAGAATTGGTAGATAAGGGATGCTGGGAGAAACAACTAGGCAGTACGTGAGATAGTGGCCCCCAATAAAACAACCACATAAATAACAAGAACGAGGAGGCGTATGATTTCCCTTGGAGATTGTCCACAGTACAGATTAGGAAACGCCACAAGACTAGATCAACTATTAGAATAGTCTCGTGAAAGAAATAATGGAAGGAATCCTCCGATCCTAGCCTAAATGAGATTGATATAAAGCCTGCCAAACCCCACCTTATAAATATGACAAAACAGTCACCGGCGTCAGAAAAACCGTCTATTCTAATAAATGAACGTTGTTCATCAGTTAGGTTGAATTCTCTACAGAATTTAATTAGTCTGCCCCATATGCACAACTCTCTACGAATATCCCGAACTCTGATAGGGTTGGGGTTCTTATCATTTCTCATAGCCTTTACACCGTCTCCTGTCTCTGCCGGAGATAGCGACTGGCTCAGTCCACCGGTAATTTTTTTTCACAACCATTCAATACATATTATCGTGAACTAATGAACCCTTTAAGTACAACTATATCTTCCAGTTTGAATTACCTCAGGCGCCCATTGCCAAACCCAAGACGTAGGTCTTCGAGTTTCCCACCAAAGGAGAAAGTAAGCTTATTTTTTTGGCGTAGTTCCTATTACAACAGCACCACAAAAGTTTGGATCGACTTTTATGAAGTAATTATCAAGCCGTTTCAGCAGCAAGTATATCCAAACCTGGGAATAACAAATCTGGTGGGATATAATGGAACCACTCCGGGTCCAACATTCCATATGACAAAGGGGAGAGAAGCACTTATTCGTTTCGTGAATCAATATGATCGACCCTCCGCAATCCATCTTCACGGTTCTTACTCCAGAGCTCCCTTTGATGGGTGGGCCGAGGATACTATAAGACCAACATATTATAAGGTGTGTTAATCAGTCGTTAGAGAGAGATGTGTAACTCTTTGATAAGACCGGCACTAAACCTAATCTGATAGGACTACTATTATCCCAACAACCAATCTGCAAGGACACTCTGGTATCATGACCATGCGGTCCATATCACTGCTGTTAATGCCTACTTTGGCCAGGCTGGATCTTACATCCTTTCAGACCCAGAAGAAGAAGCTAGACTTGGCTTGCCAGCAAATAAATATGATGTCACGCTTGTCCTCCAGTCCAAGGTATACAAATCCAACGGCGAACTACTCTCTCCCGAAAATGAGCGGGAGAGTCTTTATGGAGACGTAATTCATGTGGTGAGACCCGAAAACCCAACGATCGTGAATCCCAAGGACTAACAGAAACAGAACGGTCAACCATGGCCATATCTCAATGTCGAGCCTCGCACTTATCGTTTTAGAATGTTAAATGCAGCTATCAGTAGGACCTTCAGATTGACGATAGTCGTAGACGGCCAGCAAACTGCTATTCCTTTCTTCGTTATAGCATCTGACGGAGGATATCTATCAAAACCCGTCCAAACAAGCCAACTTTTCATCTCTATGGCGGAGAGATGGGAACTTATTGTTGACTTTACTCCTTACGCAGGTAAGAAAATAGTTATCAAAAACGCCCGCGACGTTATGGCGGATGAAGACTATAATGCAACGGATCGTGTGTTGCAATTCCGTGTTGGAATTACGGTTACCAATTCGAGCAACAATGGACCGCTTCCCGCGGAATTGTCAAAGGTCCCCTTCCCTAAGCCAAAGAGTGGCGTAGATAGGAGTTTCAAATTTGAAAGATCGTAAGTGCATAAAGCAGACCGAATGGGATGAACTCTCTTGCTTCCCTTTGCTTACTCTAGGATAGGAGTGGCGAGTGGCGCATAAATGGAGTCCCTTTCGCAAATGTGAACAACCGTATCTTGGCAAGACCTACACGTGGCATGACCGAAGTCTGGGAGTTGGAAAACAGCAGTGGTGGATGGTCTCACCGTGAGTGTTAATACTTGCAGGCTCTTTAGCTGAACAATGCTGACTGGTGTTCTTCTTCAGCGGTCCATATTCATTTAATTGATTTCCAAGTTATCTCCCGTACTGGAGGACGTAATGCTATACAACCCTACGAAGCCGTGGCTCTCAAAGATGTAGTACTGCTTGGGACAAATGAGAAAGTTAGAGTATTGGCTAAATATGCTCCTTGGGATGGCGTTTACATGTTCCACTGTAGGCCATCTTCTTCGATCCACTACATAGTATAATCTGAACTTATCTTGCTGACTTGTTTTAGGTCACAACTTAGTACATGAAGACCACGACATGATGGCAGCTTTCAACGTAACACAGTTGGCTGATTTTGGCTATCCCGAAACCACAAAGTTCATTGACCCCATGGAAGAGAGGTGGAGAGACAAGCTTTACGATGACAAAGCAAAAGATCTCAGGATAGTCGAGAGTGAAACATTGCCATTCTTCTCGTCTCTTGATGCGTATGCCCATGTGGGGCAAATCAATGATGCACTAGATCAGTATTTTTTGACAGTAAGTCGCCCTACACTACTAAAATGGGCAAAAAAGATGATTGATCATGCACGCTGGCAATACTAATTCCACGAAGAGATCTAGCAACATCCCCACATCCTCTACCAAGACTTCCACCAGCACCACCAAGACTTCTACCACCAAGACTTCTACCACCAAGACTTCTACCACCAAGACTTCTACCACCAAGACTTCTACCACCAAGACTTCTACCACCAAGACTTCTACCACCAAGACTTCTACCACCAAGACTTCTACCACCAAGACTTCTACCACCAAGACTTCTACCACCAAGACTTCCACATCCTCCGCCAAGATTTCTACAACAAAGAGCTCTGGTTGAAATGCAAAACGTACCGATGCGCCAACGCACAGATACCCCCTCCCTCCCTGCCCCCAACATATAAAGGGGCGATAATATTGGGCTTGGAAGATACTGTAAATAGTCCTTGTTGTGATACCCAAGAAGTAAATTGCTGCGTGTATACGCAACTTTCTCGGAAAAGCATTGATTATATCATATTCCATGTACATACATGTACGTAATATTAAACAAAGTAAATCAAATCGTCGTCATGAGATATCACTCGGGTAATATCTTAGGTAGGAAATTGAATCACCCTGTCAAAGATAGTCAAAGCGTGTACGCGGGACAGGCAAGAACAACCTTCTAATGGTAACGATCTCTGATTCCCGACTAGTGAAAAGCTACATTAAATTGTGCCCCTGCTTGCAGCATGCATTTTCAAGTACATTTTGCCTACCCCGAGCACATGCTGATCACAGTTGATAGTATCTGTGGCACTGCCAGGGAGTTCTACTTTCCTTGGTTACTTAACTAGGTCGGCTTATATCACGTTTCAGATGGATGAAAGAAGTATCTTTTTCTCATTATCATAAACAAAAAAAACAAAGGTAACACGCCAATTTCCATAGGTCCATTATCCCCATTCCAGTCCCAGTACCATGCCCGTCCCAAACAAGTACCATTAAATAAAATCATGAAGTTACTCAAATCAACTCGTGAATGTCGATCGTTTATACTATAGAGATGGTGCATTAGGGTCCATAAGACACTGGTCAACACGCATAATCTGCTTTCTAGTGGCCTTGGCGTCTTTGATGAATTGCCGAAGCTGGTCGACAGTAGAGATATAACTACGTATGAAGGTTAGAAAACATTCATCGTAAGAATTAAAAGGGATACAAACAGGTAATGCGCAACAAACAAGTTACCACCCTTGGAAAGATCACGCTGGACAGCAAGAGTCTGCTGATTTCCCGGGTCACTGGGTCCATAGATCCAGTCCTCGATATCAACGCTCCAGTTGATGATCTTGGTTCCTGGAACGGTGGCCTCAAGACGCTGGCGGGTAAGGGCACCATCAGTTCCGTAGGGTGCACGGAAGTATCTTTAAAATAGTCAGTAAGAATCAATATCAGAATAAGATAGTTGGACGGTGCTAGAAATCTTACCTGGAATCAACACCAAGATTCCTCTTAACTGCATCATGACTCCTCAAAAACTCATCATCGATGGCACTGACGGAATTGAGACCTTCAAGCTTGGGATGGGTATATGAGTGGAATCCAATCTGATCGATCAACAGTCAGCAATTGGCCCCCCTTATGAAGTCGGTTAGCTCAGAAATAACAAACCTGATGTCCATTGGCGAGTGCACGCTTATATAGATCCCTGAAAGGCAAGCTTGAGTCATCAAGAGAGTTACCGACGACAAAGAACGTAACCTTGATTCCCTCGGAATCAACAATCTTCATCATCTCGTCAGTCAAGCTCGGGATACCATCATCAATGCCGAAAGCAATGCTGTTGGGCCGTGTGCAAGAAAAGTAGAGGGGACCAGTAGGCTTCTTGTCCGGGACATTTCCTGGGGCCGAGTCGACGATTTCAATGAGGGAGAAGGTGGTGGAGGCGCCAGGATTACGGAACGCCTTGAATGCGACACCGAGAGTACGGCCCTTCATGATGTTGAAGTGACTCATGGGGATATATATATCTCCGTCATTATCGTAGTCTTCGGCATTGACGATATCCCAGGTCTCCGGATACGGAGCCCGACTCATATCGCAATCGTTATTATTCTGCATAAGAGCAATGGAAAACTGCTTATCTCCGGAGCATTTAATATGGAGGTACTGGCTGTTAAAACTCCCGAGATCTTGACATGCGTTGTTGAACTGCGAGAAGAAACTATAATCCGTATCGGCTGACTTGATGGTCAAACTGCCACCATTCCATTGACAGGACATTGAGCCATCACAGCCATGCCAGTTTCCAAGCGCGTTTGTGCCGCTGTTCTCGAAACGATCAAGAACCAACTCACCGAAGGCAGTTCCGGCAAAAGCGAGAATCGGAAGAAGTCCTTGAACTAACATGATGGCTACTCTAAAAAGTGCAATTCCCTGGTGCCAGGTACCAAAAGAAAGGGCTTTAAAAGTTGAACGAAAGTCTGCGGCTAAAGGGCCAAAGAAAGATAGAGTGAACAGTCTATCTAGAACAATTGTGGTGAGGGATGGAAGAGCAAAGTAAAGTCCTGAAGGCTTCCAGAGAGCCCTTCATATACCTGTGTAAACTTCGATAGCGAACTAGCCAGCAGTCTGGGTATGCTTAAAGTATATTGCGCCCTGCCCTGCTCTGCACTTTCCGCATGTTCTGCACTTTCCGCAATTGTGCAGAGAGACGCAACGGACGTGGATCAACTTTTCTCTACACTCTGGGGAAGATCAGCATTGGCCGTTCCCTAACCCCATGCACTACGATCGACGGGGATAATAATAGCTCTACAATTCACTCCCATAGGTTGGAAAAATCAAACTTTAGTACGGAAGATTCCCCGTTATATATTTGCCCAGCATTCCTTCGTTTAGACAGCTAATGAAGTATCATCGATCTTACATTGCCTTACTCAACACTCTTTTTCGTCAAAACAAGGCCCCTGACCCTCCTAACTGGGTTGGGATAACCGCAATGTATTTTTCACGCAGAGACAACACAAGCTTGCAGAAAGCCTAGGCCTACAAACAAAGTTGATGGTGGACGAATTCAGCCTCCACATTTCTCAGCTGAGCGAATGAAATTACCTATTTAGGGAGGGTACCTGGGTAGGTATTTGTTGAGAGAAAAGTCTTTTCTCTGGGTAAACCTGATACCAACCTTCAAATTCAGCAAGTACTTATTATGGACTGACATGACAATTTGTGTGTGAGAAGTCATCGGCATTCTCCAGGCACGAGGAACGTCAGGATTTGCTGCCGACCCGTAGAATTCTGATCGTACGTCCCCAATGTCATGCCGTGTAGCTTCAACACCGTCAGCTTGCTTTTCATGGTGCCAAAGCCGACTGTTGTGTAGGAGCCTTCTTTACGTCAGCGGCCGAATTGGGATGTTTATCATGCAGTTTGTCATTAGCGATTGGCTTGATTTCTCCAAGACTTTCTCCAAGACTTTCCCGCCCGCTCACTTTTAGCCCATGGGGCAACACACTGCTTCTGTCGTTTAACCTGCATGTGGGACAAATTCTGAACAGCGAAGGTACTTGGGCTGAGACTGGAACGAACGAGTACCCGTCATTGTATTTGCTTTTCCGAATGTGCTTTTGTCTGCCAGTGGCTGGATTTTACCGAATCCTATTTTATAAACAGATACATACTTTAGTTCCAGTTGCGCTCGCCGGAGACATGAATTTGTCACTGATGCGATGGTGGATGAATACCTACGAGTGATACGCTATGACAGCTACCTTCCTGTTGACACTCAGATACCTGATCTTCCTGCGATGGGGGAACACCAACAATCGCTCAAACCTCCACTTGACAAGAATCTCTTGGCATTATCTCCTATCTAGGCCAGGCGGTACATACATAAAACTTTTCCACGGATGCCTGCTTTCGAACGACTAAATACATGTAGCCAGACCCAAGATCTTGTTTCCGAGATGTGAAATTCCAGAAACCAGAGTTAGTTTGGTGCGACGTTTATGCAAAGCTCAGGGGCCAGATAAACGGTTAGAACAGTACTCGCGCGTTAACTAAGTCCTGGGGAATTTTGTGATGGCGTTGCTACCAAGAATTCTCAGCGTTTAATTAATCCGTTAGTACATTACGTTCCTATAGACCTACATATGAACTTAAAAACATCAGGGGCTGCTTTATGTGTCATGTATTGAGACTCTTGGTATATACATGTATTCTATACATGTTGCTATAATTGCTTCCGCAGCGCTTAATAAGTAATGTTGCTCTATTTAAATATCTTCAAGATGTAAAAAAAGAAGAACAGGAATATGTACCTTATCTGAGCTGTATATTTATAATGAACTCACACCTTTGGTCTGAGGCGCATTCTGTATGATGAATGATGAGGGAAATGCTTTGGCACCATAAGACAGAGATGCAAGTGCAGAGCGGAATGCTGACATGTCGACAGTAGAGGGTTTTAGCTGCACAATTTGGACAGAAACTCATATACAACCAATAGGATGTGCAGGAGTTTCTGTCCAAATTGTGTAGCTAAAACCCTCCCGGGGGGGGGGGGGGGGATTAAAAAGAAATCTTTACTTGCAGTTGTGCACTTTATCGGAGCAACCATTTCAAGAAGTCCCTTGTAGAGATTTAAACGAACCAAACAGAGTAAAAAAGTACCTTACATTCCCGTAAACTTTCTATTCGCCCAAAAAAAAACATGGCGTTCCCTGACAGGTACCTACACACCTATCATGATCATGATTCTTGCATTGTGCAGTTCAATTGAGACGGGATACACCATATCCGCAGGGAGCTCATTCCAAAATGAACGTTGTGATTTGAAGATGAGGAAGTTCAATCAACTGGATGTCCTAAACCAATGGAGAGTGGGTCTATGTTGCGGCTCTTCGGAATTTCCCGATAAAAGAGGTCTTGGGACGGGAACAATGTTTATGCGGGCCGCGTCATAGATAGGCACTCGTTATGACGACAACACCGCGCATGTGCACGGAATAGAGATTCCGAACAGTGGATTTTAATGGATAGAACCGTTGCGATAATCAAGCTCTGACGTCAAAAGTTTGAGATGTTTATAACGGTTGTTGGAAGAGTCTTCAAAGTACCGAGAACTGAAAACACGTACCTACACTCAACTCAAGCCAAAGATGTCCGACTCCAATTTCATACGTTTGACCGTCGCCGTATTACCCTATCCTTATGGAAAGAAGGGTTCAGACTCCTTAGCAGCCAGATTTGCTACAGCGACCCCTGAGAATAACTTCGAGATCGATGAGAATCAGCCGTATGGTGAAGTAAGCATAAATCACTGCTCGTCTGGTGCTCTTTCTCTCATGTATC